TTAGATTATGTTTTGAGTTTCTTATTAAATGTTAGAGAAGGGTCCAAGTTTTATAATTCCCTTGAACTTAAGTCTAATCTTTCATAAGAATTTTATCCGCATGGGCTTTCTTTTTATCTTTTTAATTAACGAAACTATAGAGTAGATAAGATAGGGCTCTATTCAAATATATGTAGTGATAATTCATTATTTATCTCGAATATGTCTGCATAGCTACTGCCATTGACTATTAATACCTTTAAGGCCAGACAGTAATATTGATAAATTGTTAGTAAGCTATCATTAAGATCTTAATGAAAATACAGTAAATAAATTAGTCAATTAAACCGGCATTTAACCACGTTTGAATGCAGCCCTCAACGTGGTTTTCCGGTTTCCAAAGTCCGAATAATGGCGAATTTCCGTGCGAAAAGGCCAATCCCTGGCCTGATCCTCTTTGGTATATGAACACCTTTTGTCACAGGGACTGCAGCAATTTACGGTTATGGAAATGCGAATGGAAATGAAAATGTCTGGCAGTCCGATTGCAATAATTTACCTTCCGGTCGATGGTGGCGTTTTGTGTTTCCGGTTGCGTTCAACGCTATCGCAACCGCTGTTTCCGCCTCACGCGTTACAATCTGCTCGATTTCGCTGCATTTTCAGGGGTTATGCTAAAAACTTGGATGACCAAACCTATTTCAATGTAGCATGTCCTGTTTTCGGTTGAAGTTTGGGGGTGGATTTTCTAAAAGCCTTTTGACTGTTGCCCTGCATTCTTGGCGCGCCGTCGTCGCCATCGTAAATTATTCAAGTTTTAAGTCGTAAATAAAGGGGCATAAACATAAGCACAATCGGCCTGCTTTTGCCACTGGCCACGCCCACAGGACATCTTTTCAGCTCCGGGATTCCAGGACTCGTCGCCTTCTCCATCTGCATCTCCGCATCCATCGTCTGCGGCTGCCACAAGCCCCTCGTGAATTCAGTGGCAAATTGCTGAAATCGCTGGCTTCACATTTGAGTTTGCCGCTGGGAGTTTGTGGGAATCCCCGGCATTATTCTGCGGCGATGGAAGCTAAAGTTTAATGCAGCCGCTTAGAAAACGCTTTGGCGTTTCCAAGTAACTTAGATTAAACCAAGAGGCTTGTAGATACTCAAAAACTTTAGATGTTAGAGCCAACATTTCGTTCAACATTTGATAATTGTTTTTTTTACAAAGACAGTCAGACTTTGTTAAGAAATTCATTGAGCATCGATAAATTAAAATAAAATACTAGAGCTGTCCCTATGAGTAATACAATTTTATTATTTATTTATTTATTATTATTATTATTTTAGAAAAAGTGTATTACTTTGATTTAGCTATAAAAGTACAATTATAAAGTACGCAATTGTTAATTAAACTTGGACTACTCACATGATGTCTTATCTGTTCGAAAATTACATGTTTTTGGTATACAAATATTATTAACGTCCCGTCTAATAATATATTTGTGTCTAAATGCCTAATATTTAAAATGTAATGGTTGGTTCAGGCCAGGTAGCCCAGTTTCCGAGGTAAACTTTAAACCCTTCCAGAGGCTAATTCGAAAGTGATTGACGTTTGGGCAACGCACGAGGTGATTTCGGATTTGTTTCGCTTGGATTGCAGACAGCCTTACCACACAATACCTCACAATGCCATAGCACTCCATCCATTCTAGCCAGAGGATGAGGAGTTAACAGATCCTGTCATTGATGCCCGCTGAATGAACTCAAGACCCTTGACTCGGCGTCCAGAGGCAATTGTGTGATTGATGGGCGCGGAGCTGGTAGGCTCCGATTGCTCGCTTAACTGATTGACGTGGCGGCCAGAGTCTTTATCTGCAGAGGACACCCGATCCTGAGAGGTCGAAGGTCGGCTTTAATCACTCCCTCCACCCACCCACTCACTCACTAATTATGCCATCGCCACAGGCAAGTGCACTTGCACCACCGAAAGCACAATGCACCACCGCTCACAAACGATGTTTACATGCAATTACTGTTTCAGTGTTCCGCTGTCAACTCGAACGCCATTCGCCATTCGCCATTCGCCATTTGCCCTTGTTTATTACATGATGCTCTCAGCTCTATAAGGCAGCGGATCCAGGTGATCCAGGACATTCGGGATTCAGGTGGTCTGGTCCTGGTCGGTGGCACTCTTAATTGCACCGCTGCCGGCAATGTATCATCGCAGAGCAATTTGGAGCTGCGGGAGCTGCTAAAAATGTTCATCGCTAATGTCGCAAATGTTTACTGTTGGCTTATGACTCTGCTCTTGGCCAAAAACATGAAACACGAAACATGAAACAAATGGCAACGGAAACGGAAATGGAAACGGAAACGAGGGGTGGCTGCAAAGAGAAGGTTAATTGAATTGTTACTTTTCTGCTTCCATGGAGAATTCTCCACGCTTTTTTGCATGTGAAGTAAAATTTTTCTAGTTTTTAGTTCTAGAGGTGGATAAGCAAAAAATAAATAAAGAAATGTCAAATAAGAACTGTTAAGGTGTAGACGCACCTTTCTTTTATGTTGAATCCTTTAGAATTTTTTCCTTATAAAAAATGTGGCAATTCAACAAGAAAGTTTTATGCAATTTAGTAAGTATAAGGCCTATTACCTATAGTTTTATTGAAAAATTGACATCATTTTCCTTATATTTTGATTTAAATGAAATAATTGTTGAAAATTTCGATGATTTGACTTCAAAATGTGAAGTATTGTTAATGCTTTAAATCTATTTCCGATTACACTGTATAAATTTAAATGTTCCTAAAAGTTATTCAGGAACCCGACCAGTCATAACTAATTTATAACTCGGTTAGCAGATTTGATAAGTCAATTAAAATGCGGAGATTTAAATTTACTTGGAAGCCTGATAGACTTCTTGGCAGGAAGAGTGGCGGCCAAAGCTATTTATGTTGTTGGCCGACAATGAATAATTCATTGCCACTCGTTATCCTGGCCTACGCGTCGATGATTAAATCAAATCACTTCAACCCGTTGCCAATGCTCCCAAAAACTGACTCAAGGTTTCTTAAAGGGCCACCACCCACCACTCCATGGTCATTCTTATCTTAAGGAATTGTGCAAATGATGCCCGCGGGCCAAATTACCAAAGCATTCCGCCGCCTGGCAACTGTCAGCGATTCCAAGGGGTTAATTGTGTCGCAACCCGCTTAATTCGCTGAAATTTTGCTATTTGGTAAAGGTCCAAGGCTCCAAGGTTCCACGCTTCCTATTCGCAGTTCGTTGCCTTGGGAGGAAACAAACAAACTTCCAACTGACTGGAGCTGAAGTAACAAAAAAGGTCCTAGAAGGTCAAAGGTTGCGCCATCGAAAAACAAAGAAATAAATACTGGTCCCTCTATACAAACAATTGTTGGGCTCCAACGAGTTTAAGCCATTTGATTAAATCAGCAGGGGAGTGAGTACCTGCATATCAAAATTCTGCAAGGACACCTTAGTTTTTTGGAATTTTTCGCATTCGTAACGGCTGCATGGGCTAGAAATTGAATGGACATTTTCATTCAACAGCATTCTGGCCATTTCGCTTTGATTTGGATTTCCATTTTGGTGCATTGGCCATTTGCTTTTAATAAAAATTCATCAAAAGCCAACAAAACGGGGAAGGACTCAGCATTGGAATCATGTGCGCCAGAAGTCATAAAAAGGGGTGAAACAATGGCGAGCGTGCAACCGGAAACGGAAGTCGACGCAGACAAACACCAGATACGAAAGGGCGCCATGGGAGAAGAAGGGATTGGAAAAAAGGATACGAGGCGGGCCAAGGCTCCAATGGAACAAGGAGCAGAAGGAGAACTGAAAGTGGAAGTGGAAGGGGAAGCCACAGTGACAGCAGAAATAAGCTGCCCTTTTCCTTCTCAGTTTTCTCAGATGATTTTTAAATAAGCAGGCATACAGAGGGCATACCTTCGTATTTTTATGGCATTCCAATTTGGCGAAACAAGGCGTCCCTTGGGGCCAAGGACCAATAGGCAGGCAGCCTTGACAGCACGTCCTGGCTGGACTGCGCTGGGGGAAAAGGATCTGAAGCGAAATGGCAGCGGCCATAAACGAAAATGTGTAAAAAGCTTAAGCGACACTAAAAGATTCCCACCCGAAAAACGGCGAATAGGTGCATAATGGCCGCCTGACACTGTGGGCAGATGTCAACATGTGCTTTTATTATCAGAGAGTGCACCATCAGCCCCTCCACCATTGTCCTTCGGAGCTCCACGTGGCAGGACTCGAAATGCAACTTAATTAAGAGCCGAAAAAGCGGCAAGGCAAAGGAAACTGCAGCTGGCATCTGCGGCGGTTAATGCCGGACGGCCATAAATCTGCCGAAATGCACTGCTAGCACCAGAGATCTGGAAACTGGGTACCGAAAACTGAAAGACCCGAGAGCACGGGGGCTATATAAATATACGACTGCGACCGGCAAAGCGATAGCCAAGCGAATTGCGACTTTTATGACCCCAGCGAAGCGAGTGAATTAAATGCGAGGTAATTACATATTATAAATGTGTTTAGTTCGCCGATAGTTTCCCGCCAAAGAAAGCCAGTTGTCACAATGTATGCGCCTGGGCCATAAAGTTACACTCTGAGAAAATGGCAGCACTTTCATTGTGATCATTACATTGAAAGATCCAAAAGGAGAACGACCTTAAGATATTTTTTTACTTCCCTTGGTTTTTCCTTAAATTCAAATGTAAAAAAAAATTTAAATTTAATTCCGATTATTATTTTAAGGATCCGAAATGGAAAGATCAGATCGGATCAACTACAATTACAAATTTAAAGAATCCCAAATTTGAATGAAAAGCTTAGTCAGCAAGGTAAACCAATAAATAAACCTTTTCTCATTATCTAGATCTATACATTCTTATTATTGATGACATTAATATTGTCATCGGTTTCCAAAGTCTTCATATTTAACAGTTCCTCAAATTGTCTCCAACAAGTTTTATAAAATATCATTCATAAGATATGAAACCTTGGTTTTTAATACATATTTATTAGCTGAATTGTTTTTAATGTTAATTTCGAGACATGTAATACCATTGCAGAAAGTCCATACTATTTAAAGGAACAAAGTTCCATACTTCTTGAGCCCATTACTTCGCCTTATCGAGACATCCGCATACGGCCTTGACGAACTCGGAGCACTTGGCCTTGCCGCCCACATCCTCGGTGCGAATGTCGCTATCCTTATAGACAGTGCGAATGGCACACTCCACCTGGTCCGCCTGCTTGTCCAGCTTCAAGTGGCGCAGCATCAGGGCGGCACAGAGCAGGGGTCCCGTGGGATTGGCCTTATCCTTGCCGGCCAGGGCGTGGCACGCCTTCATCCGGGAGTCGAAAACGGTTCCGAGAGTACTCACGGAGTAACCAGGACATATGCCAGGCACTCCCATCATCCCACCCGCCAGAACCCTCATCACATCACCATACATGCTCGATGAAACCATGACATCGCATTTGTGCGGCTTCATCAGCATGTTCAGGATGCAGGTGTCCAGGTAGCGTTCCTCAAACTTAATCTTCTCCACATGCTTCTCGCCCTCGGCTCGCATGGCCTCCAGGAAGTTCCCATCCGTCATCCGCATGATGTTGGCCTTGTGGGCCACCGTGATCTTCTTCCTCTGATGCTTCACCGCATAGCCAAAGACGAACTCGGCAATCCTGGCTGCTCCCGTCGTGGTGCTCACCTTAATGGTCTGCATTACACCAGGAACCACGGAGTGCTCGATGCCGGAGTAGTCCCCCTCCATCTGATCCCGAATGATCACCACATCAAAATCGCCGTAGGGCGTGTCCAAACCCTTGATATTCGAGCATAGGGACACGTAGGCGAACTGCGCGAACTGCTTGCGGATGTGGCGCTGCCAGTGGCGACTCTCCACGGGACCCTTGATGCCCACCTTGTTGGCCCTCAGGGACTCCAGAACCCCTGAGGAGACATCTTCGCTATCCGGGGCCATGTACTCCTCCAGAATGTCCCACTCGATGGGGGCCTTCACGGCACACATCACCTCCTGTACTGCACCCATTAACTCGGGTCCCACGCCCTCGCCATTGATCATGGTCACCTTGGTGGTCTTCTTGGCAGGGTCTCCCGCTCCTTTGCCTTTCTCATTTCCTTTTTCTCCAGGTTTCACCTTTTCCCCAGACTTTTCCTTGGGCTTCTCCTGCGGTTTTGGCTTCTGATCCTTAGCGGAATACAGTCGATAAGCTCCACAGCCCAACGATCTCAGGCGAACCAGGGTGTTCATTTTCCGCAAGGTGTTCATTTTTGAAAATTTGGCCCAAAATAAGAGTTTTGAAAGGAAAGGAGATGTTTGCTAGGGCTACGTGTTCGGTAGGGTTCCCATTTATATGGAAACAGGTAATTTTACAGTACGATTTGGGGGATTGAAAGCATGCCAAAAGAAATTGGTTAAGAAAAATGCATCTGCGCATTGGCTTACAATTTTATCACCTATACGCACTGTTGACTTTAATGAAAAGTTGTATTAATCTAGGCGGCTTAGGTTAATAGCAAACATTTTTTTTTGCTCTACTATTCTTTAACAATTCTTCCAAATATTGACAAGGTAAGCAATGGGAGAAAGATTCTTTGTAGACAAAATTCTAACTGGCATACATTACACGTCGTATGAGTAATTTTAAGGGACACCTTAAGACCATTTAAACGTTGGTTAATCTTAAAATACTACCCAGCTTAAGGGTGAGAATAAGATTCCCTTTTTTTAATATTATCCTAGTGTTCAACCATCCCCGAAAACACTTGGCCGCAAATTGATTTGGCAGGATTTCAATTGCCTGCTCATAAATCCCCGCGAAATATGTCTTGGCAGAGGATTCAACTGGGTCAGCAGGGGGAATTCAAAAGTCGCTGGGCTGCTTTAATGTGATTCCCGGACAACAAGAAATCCAGGTGAAATCCAGGTATGGGCCTCCGCCTGCGGCTGTGTAAATGTGACAAATGGCTTGTCAACGGCTGTGGGCCCAAAAACCAAATGGCGACTGCTGGCGACAGACAAATGTCCCAAACGCCCCCGCCCCACCCAAGGGGGCGTGGCAATTATGAGTCCAGCGGCAGTGATTTTTCAACCGGGGGCGTGGGAAAAGCACACCATTAAAATCGACGACCATTAAGAGCAGACCACAGGGAACCACGGTGACGGGCGTTACAAATATCCAGTAATTATTTCGCCCCCGGCTGATTACTATTTAAGATTTATAAATGACGTTTTTCCCCATGATTTTCAGCAGACTGGTAATCAGCGAAAACAATGCATCAAGGTTTTACGACATTTTCGATTCATTTTTACGGCCCAGAACAGTGAATCCTTGAAGTACAAGAATAGTATCTCAGAGATATCGAGCAAAAAAAACAATTCAGTTGAAGGTTTGTTTGCCATCCCGTGCTTTAGCATCATATTTTATTGCGTATGGCCTCTCTATTGACAACTTCCTGCACATAAAATCCAACAGAGTGCACTTCGCCAACAAAGTCGGTGCATTGGATGGCCAAAACTTAGGAAGTTTGTGTAAACATTGGCCAAAAGCAAAAACTTACAATGTGTGAGCCCAAACTATTATTAACCCCACTTCATTGTTCAGTGTTCAGCAAATTGAAAGTTAAATCAAGGTGATGGCAGGGGTACTGTTGGAGAACGAAAGGACAGAGGCCTTGAAAAGTGACTTCTGACTGGCATATTCAATTCAAGGATCTGTCTAAATGTCAGTGCCTTTGTTTAGATTTTTATTGATATTCACAATACTATTTTACGGGCCTTAAAATGATGAGATACTTTTTATGCCTTCATGCCTTTTCTTAAAAGGGTATTTTTGGTTAATTTGGTTGGTACAGAAAATTTAGTAATCATAAAACCAACATTTAACTTAATCCAGGCAAGAAAAGGGGTAAAATTACGATTGACAAATGATTTCTGATATATGATTTCTATCATATCATATTATCAGCTTCACTGCAAAACTCTAGATCTCAGAAAAATGTACAGGAAAGGGTTACTTTTTTTTAAGCATAAGGACAACTCAGTTTATATTTTGTAAAGTGTGCACTGAAAGTATCTGAATCTAACCTTCAATGAGTCCCAGGAGCTCATCCAAGTGCCTGCACTTAAAAAGCGTTTAAAGATGCTGCAAGTAATACAAGAATAATACAAGTCGTTTGGCTGGAAGGGGAAAACAATATAAATGCATGGCTTATTTACAAGTTGTGTGCTCTCGGGAGTGCATACATAATTCGAGCCAGTGTGTTTTAGATGTATGTTCGGATGCATTTGACGATGGACGATTTGGTGAAAAGCTGGTAGGAAATACCCCCTAAGTGAATTACTTTTCAGCAACTGGGAACTCATTGAAATCCACATCGGGGCACTCACACATGTAAGCTGATCTGCGTTTTAACCATGAAAGCATGCTATATGACTTTCCCTTTTTGAGACCAAAAAGGAAACGCTATTATATAGTTATATAGTCGAGTGCAGATGATGGAGCAATCTGCTCCTTATCAAGGTTACCGGGGTAAATGCGGGAATGAGCAGTTATGATCCGCTGATTTTCATTAGCCCTGCTCTGCGCTCATGAATAATGCAGGACCAGTTTATCATTTCTATGGGCTACATGTTGATTTAAGGGCTTGCCCCTGGCCAAAACAACTCTTGCCAAAAAATGTCTGGCATAAAAAGAAGAGGTTTTCACACCCAAATCACCGGACGGACAGATTTGGTTATTTATGTAGTCAAGGGACGTGCAACCCTTTTGTCAATGAGAGTTGGAAATTTAAGACGGACAGGCAAAAAAAAAGAGGAAAAGAAAAATCGGAGAAATATACTGTTGCATATTTGATTGTCTCGGTCAATATTTACATATTCGGACTGCCTGCCTTCTGATGGCTTACGCTTCGATTGTTCTGGCCTCATCCCCGAATCCCGTCCAGAGTCAAGCTATCGACTCTCCAAGACTCCAAGCTGCCCCAGGCTACCATCAGCAGATCCGGTGGCATCCGGCTGAAATCAGAATTTGCATTTCTATTGTTGCCCTTTGTTTCTTCTGCATCTCATAGAGGTGCGGTTGCCCAGGTAAAAGCGTGTGAATCCCAGCACCTGTTTTGGCCAGCAATTGGAGTCCATGGCACAGAAACACAAAAAATGGGTATAAACGGAAACGGAATTTTCCACATGCACCTGATGCCCACGCACGTAAAAAAATATGAAGATATATAATTAATATTTCCATAAATGCATTGCATATTGAATAATGTAAATTGATATCTTGAAAACATTTTAAAATTATTTTGAAATTGAATAAAACAACGAAAAACAAGATGGCTTCCTTTAAAGATTATATCGATATCGAAAACGCGAGTAAAAACAAGATGGCGCTTGTCTTAATTACATCGAAATCGAAAGAGAGCCATAAGCAAGATGGCGTCTTTTCGAAATTAGTTCAAGATCGAAAAAGAGAGGAGAAAGAAAGATGGCTTGTTTTCGAAATCGAAAAAGAGAGCCAAAAGCAAGAAGGCGCCTTTCGAAATTAGTTCGAAATCGAAAAAGAGAGAAGAAAGAAAGATGGCTTGTTTTCGAAATTGAAAGAGAGAGCAAAAGCAAGATGGCGGCCCTTCGAACTTAAGTCGAAGTCGAAAAAGATCGAGAAAGAGAAATTCCCAATTCGAACTGTCCTTTTTCCGAAATATCGCTTTTTAAATTTTCACACAAACCAAATTGATGGGGTATTTCAGACAAACTGGTTTAATTTTTTATCTTCTTTTTTATCGGTGCAGGATCAAGTGAAACGACGGCTATAACTGGGCTTACTCTCGCCAACAGTCGATTATTTATGGCTGGCAAAAGAATAATCAAAACCCAAAGCAGAAAGGCTTTTTGTGGGTCACCGGTGAAATAATAATTGAGCATTTGAGCGCCAAACATGTCCAATATGTATTTATTTATAGCACTGGCTTGGCATTAATTACAGTCTACTATTTGCGGCGGAAAAACCGTGTTATGTATGCAAATACAAGAAAAAATCCATTAGGAGCATACTTTTAATAACAATTTATAAGCGAAATAAGCAAATAGAACAATTCAATGCTTGGTTGCTATGATTTAAGGCAAGTCCTTAGTCAATACCACAATTAGGTATTTCATAACAGGTTAAGAAAATTGCACAAATTGTTTAGCTGTCCAAGATTTCATTGATTAATTAGGGACTTAATTGCAAAGTGTCTGCCCGACCAAGTAAATCAATTATAGAGTGATTAAAAATATTTATCGCAAGCCTCGTTTGTGGTGGGCCACATCGTTTACATGCCAATCACCTCATAATATTGAGTGACTTTGTGGCTGGCCACACAAACGCATAAAGTCGCAAGATGGAGTTTGTGCACTTGTATCTCCAGGGATTTGCATTCTCATCGATTTGCCAAGGGTCTCAATTAAATAAACATTTTTAATCAAGCCGAGAGTTGCGTGCAGACAAATATTTGCCAGTGCCATTGGATTGATTAGCATGTTCGCAAATAAATAAATTGTAAACAAGTAAACAGATATTTGACAGCTCTCTTGAAAGGAATGAAATGGTGTTTGGAGCTTGCTGAATAATTTGCTAAAACTGAAACTGAAACTAAAACTAAAACTAAACTGCAGCTGTCACAGGCCTACTATTAAATATCCTTTTCTCCGGCTGCTGAATAATTGCAATTAAAATGCACAAAAGCCGCAGGAGCCCAGTGCATCTACATATATATATATATTATACTTCGACAGTATTCCAGTCACAATATTGAGAATATTTTTGCACGCAATGCGGTTTGTTTATGCGTTTGCCGAAGCGTAAAAAGTCGCACAATGCGACAGTTAAATATTGTGGAACATATATATATTTTTACGGTCCCCGTGCACGTTCCATGCCCGGGCGGCAATAACACAGAAACAAAAAGTTAATTAAGTTCTTAAAGAACTGCTCTTTTTTCAGCCATTTCTCCGGTCCTGTGTGCCTTGCATATCTCAGCGAAAACGGTGACAGAACGTGGAAATGGACGAGGACCTCGGCAGGATCGAGGATATTTCACACAGGAGGTGCCGCAGCTCGGCTCACATAAATTGATTCCATACAAAACCGTATAATTCATTCTCGTTTCGTTTGCACCTCGATACCCGGCTGCATTGTCCATCGGAGGAGAATGGGGATGAATCCCTGGGGTGGATCAGGAGGAGGAGGAAGTGGAAGCCCGGCTGCTGGGTCTTAACCCACCGGATTACCATCGCATCCGCACTCGCCCCGGACAATATAATAAATCATGCAGCCCAACGGGGCCAAAAGTGTCCCGACAAATCAACTTTGTTTCGGCAATTGTGTTGGGAGCACTTTAAAGGTGAAATAAGAGCTATGAAAACCATTTACCTAAAAGGATTCGCTATTTGTTCTAGGAAACTAAAAGTCAGCCCTTTGGTCTTGGGACCATTTTCTACCAAGTTCAGCGAAAAAACATTCAG